GTATGTACGCCAAAAACAACAAAAAATTATGGACGAAGATAAAATAAGAATTGCGACGTGGAACGCAAATGGCGTTCTGAATAAAAAGCGCATATTGGAAATATTCCTAAAGACCCAAGATATTGATATATATTTAGTAACGGAGACACATTTAAAACAGCAAACAAATATAAAAATAAATGGTTACATGGAATATAAAGCGGCGCATCCTAATAATGAATCAAAAGATGGTTGTTTTATTTTGATAAGGAATAATGTAAAACATAATGAAATAACTGAAGTAGAAAGAGACGATAGCCAATTTGTTGGTGTACGAATAGAGTCTTATAAACAAAATTTCGATGTTGGTGTACTTTACTGTCCTCCAGGACGTGTTATAAAGAGTGGTTCGTTCAAAGATCAGCTGAATCTCCTTAAAGAAAGGTTTATTATGGGAGGTGACTATAATGCCAAAAATATTGGTTGGGGCTCTAGATTGACATCAAAAAGAGGTAGAGAACTAACAAAAGCTACTAAAGAAATTGATTGTCACTACCAATCCACTAGTAGACGAACATATTGGCCAAGTGATAGAAATAAGATACTAGATCTGCTAGACTTCTTTATTGTTAAGAAAATCTCCCCAAATTTCATTAGTTTAGAAGCTAACTATGATTTGGATTCGGATCATTCTGCAGTTATATTAAACTTAACTGAGACACTTACCAAGAAACAAAATAAGCCAATGTCGATTAATAAATGCACTGACTGGACTAGTTTTGGGGAAAAGAGTTATTTTTAGTTGTTTTTTTTTTTGTTTTTTTTTTTTACAGAGAGGAAGGGTGAAAAGTCTCGAAAGGCGCTGTCAGATGAAAAGCAGTAGTGTGGAACTTCAATCCACTAAAAAACACCCTCCTCCAAATAAATTATAAAACTAGTCGGAAACAACTAACCATTAATTTTGCTCCAACCTTTTTAGGTCTCTTACGTTTAAGTTTCCTAACAAATTTAACTTAATGGAAATTTCTTCATGCAACTGCAGAACAGATGGATGACGTAATCAAAGGAACGAGTTAAAGGCAGAAAAATTAATTAAAACATTTTTTTCCTCGAACTGGACTCGAACCAGTGACCTACCGGTTTCTAGGCGGGCGCTCTACCAACTGAGCTACAGAGGCATGAAGAAATTGCCGAAGAAATGTTCTCTACATTGCTTTATACTGTAATCCAAATGATTACTAAGTATTTTGTTTACATTTGATTGCTATGATTGTATATACATGATGATACTATTGAAACACAATAACAAGAACATACAACTTTCCTAACAAATAAGTTTGATTGTCAACCAATCGAGCAGCCTCGATTTTGACATGATTGAATAAACGAATTTTATGATTGGCTGCTTGCTTTTTAATTTCGTCTGTGACACTTAGGATCGTGAGACCACCTGTGTATATCGGCATTACGGACATATCGGCATTACGGGCATTTACAATGTCCCGTAATACCTTATTTTGAAATCTTTGAATAGATTGGGTGTGAGTCTGCGCAGCGCAGCCCCATAACTGGATACCGTAAGCCCAGATAGGCTCAAATATTTGATTATATATCCTATATACAAATGTTATATCTGCCTCAAATATAAAACACTATTCTGGCTACATATATGTGCTGGCGATACTGCAATTATGGCAGTAGCATCAAATATTGGCGACGCCACAAGAAAGTTGCAGCAGGCAAGCAATAGTTTTGATGTTTGGACCAAGAAATGGAAAATAAATATAATATTCTGCAACAGTTTCACTTAACTAGACAATATACAATGCGGTCGGTTATGTGCTGATCACATCAGATTTTTTATAATATGGTATTTCAGCAGAGCTTCATATTAAACATACCATTCATGTTGGTATGCAACACTTGTATGCAGAAGATTTTCACAATTCAACAGGTTTTCAGTTACTGGCACTTAAAGTCACTCTCGACTGATTTATTTACTTTTTGAAATTGTAAGTATAACGCCGTGCCTATTCCAGATAGACTTGTTATTAAGTATTAATTGAAAAGCTTAAAACAAGAATTTTCTCATGAATACATTGATTGTAGTCTGTTTATATTTCAGAATCACATGACGTTTAAATTCAATAATTTTGAAATTCAAATTTTCATTTTTAAAAAATGTTAATTTTTTTAGGTGGTGTTACAATTTAATTTTTAGGGATGTGCAATCTAGTAACTTAAAGGTACTTATGAATACTCGTTGATTCACACTCGTTACTTTTTACTCGTTAATAGGTACTTGTAAAAAAATTATTTCAAGACTCTGTAATGAAGCTTAGTATCTTAGGAATCAGAAATCAGACAAACCTGATTTAAAAAATGTACTCCTGGAAGATGATAATGAACATCAATTTGTGAAAAAAAATTAAAACTGAAGCCGCTTGACTCTCACTTCTTGGGACTATTTTAATTTTTTGTAGTTTTTTTAGTTTCTATTACAAGTTTCTATTACAAACCTATGGTTTCCAAGATATAATTTTTTACTAAGAGAATATTGAAGTATTTACATATATTATATATATTTTAATAATTTATACTTACATATATTGATAATTCATAGTATTTAAGAGTAAAAAAAATTCAATAATTCTCTTCACTTATATATAAGTGCAATATTTTAATGCAATTAACATCATAATGTAATTTAAACAACAAAAATAATACTAGTTAGTACTTGGCACATGACTTGACAACATGTTAGACTATTTTTGTTCTACGAGGAACCAGTTACTTTGAATCCTTGAAGTAACGACTATTGAAAAAAAGAGTAGTTAGTATTCGTACATCACTAATAATGTGGTATATAATTCATTTTCCTACTTGATTCGTTTTTGTAGTTGTTGAGACGAATAAAGTACTACGAATGACATTTTGTACCAAATTTTTTGCTCTTCAAAGACGTCAAAAAATGTACAACTAATGTGTAACAAAAAATGTTGTGCTTTTGTTACAAAGCAGCTTGGCAAGTGGTGAAGGGAGTAGAGGCAAAGGGGCGGGGTGAAGGGGGTAGGCTGATAATTCTTGCTTTTCTGGAACCCTAGAGGCAAAACACTACTTAATGAATTTTCTCCGATGTCTCTAGCCCTCCTAGAAGTACCCGTACTTTTTGACACCTGAGACCTAAATGTATTAAATAAATTATGCAGCATTTCATTTTACTTTTATTTAACACTTTTCCAAAAAATTTTTGAAAAAAAGTGCTTATTAGTTTCACTCGTCCGTCCGTCTGTTCTTGTGACTGCTTACAAAACTTCTACACCCTTGAAGATAGAAAGCTGAAACTTTATATGTACATACATCTTTACATCAATCTGATATCTATCATACATCTATCTGACCATTAGTGCAGTGGTTATGGCACCGGCCCTTTAACCGAAGGGTCTCGGGTTCAAACCCCGGTCAGGTCACTATAAAAATTATATTCAATATTATATAACTTAATATGCAATACTAATAAATATTACACAAGAAATTTTCAAATATTCATAATATGCGATACTAAAAAGACTAAATAAGCAGTAAAATATTAATAAGCTGAAATATGTAATATAAATAAAAAAAAAAAACTACGGTAGGCTAGTCACCTACCTAGCTAACTCTCTATGACCATAGAAACTAGGACATGATAGATATTATGCACTAGCCCTATACTCCTTATAGGAGTGAAGAAGGAAAAATAACAAAAAAAAAAACATCTTTGCTAGAAACTTACTTCCGTAGAACAAAATTTTTACCTGTTTCGCCCTTCTGAAAGTTATACCCCCCAAAAACTCTAAAAATGCCATTTTCAGCTATTTATTGTAGTAGAACCATATGCATTTTTTAAATTTTGCAAACGCAGAAAAGCAGTGGGTTGCTTTTTCTATCGCGGCATATAAATTTTTGATGTCATTTTTCTCTTAAACCCCAGGTTGTAAAAGTCTAAAATTTTAACAGCTTTTAGACATTAATAAAGAGTTTACTTCGTTAGAAGAAAATTTTTTCCACCTCCATCCCCTCTAAAGTTATTGCCTCTTGAAATTTGTAAAATTTGAATATTTGGCACCTTAGATTTGCAAAACCGCACGCTTTTTCAAATTTCTATAAACGCGGAAAGAGAAAGTCAAATTCCATGTCATTAAGAAATATAATTAGTTTTCTTAACTCACACAATTAATCCTTAAAACCGAGCATTATGTTAACCCCTCTTTAAATTAAATTTTGATTTATTTCAAAGACTGCATAAATCATTCATCCCAAATATATGCAATCCTAGAAAAAATTTCGTACATCAATGAAAATAATTTTAATAGCGTGTTAGGAAAAGTGCTACAATACAAACCATTGGTTTGAGCCAACTTTATTTGGACATCACATAAATTTGACATAAAACTCATAACATTCGCTTGGTTATTAAACAACATTTTTTCAATTCAATATAATTAGTAGATATTACAAATTTATATTTAATTCAAAGTTTTTTTAAAAACAAATGCAAAACATAGTAGTAGAAATTCATAATAATTATGTAATTTTGAAATTCATTCAAAATTTTTTGTTATTAAACGAAAAAATATTGGTATACATATCTCAATATAAAACTATGTATGTTTTTGTTTTTTTTGTTCTTGCTTTTTACCTATACCATTATAGTATATAGAAGAAGTAATACATTATAATAATGTGTTTGTTTGTTTGGTGAGGGAGCGACAACTCAGCATAAATAAAATTTTGCATATATGAAACAATTTAATTATATTGCGTGTGAACGAGTGTTGAAAGAGCGCAAACATAATAAAAATCTTGATTTGTGATATAATTACACGTGTGCGAGTGTTGATAGGGAGCAATCTCAGGCAAATAAAAATATTGTTTTATAAAATAATTATATGTATACACACGAGTGTTGATCTTACACATTTTAGACAATATAAATTATGTGTACCTTTTTAATTTTGCATATTTTTTTTATTTTTGCGTATCATGTGTATTATATGTATGTTAAATGAGACGATTTCCCTTATGTATATGTACGATTGAATATATGCAGCTGTATGAAATATTAATCAATGTAAAGGTATGTACGAATTTATTATAGCATGTATATAAAAGGTAAAATTAATAATTTTAATTCTGATGATTAATATCATTCAAAAAACTAATTTATGCGTCCGTATTTTTAGTTTACTTTTTTCTTCAAAACACGTCTGTAATACATGTGTTTTTTCCTAATATTTTGCAAGATAAAACTTAAAATAAGAAAAGCTCTTAAAAATAATTACGAAAAAGTACATAATTAAACAAATAATTCGTTCCTTTGAGATCTAATATCTTTTGAGTAGTTTATTTTAGTTTGCGTTGATTCGTATGGTGGTGGGGATATGGAAATCAAACGATGATGACCCGTAATTTAGCTTAGCTTTGTCTTACGATGTCAACGGGTGCGTCAACGAAGGCTAACTTAGATACGCTGTAAACGTAAGTTTGCAATAGTACACGTACCTTAAATTAACAAATCCTGTTTAACATGTGGTTTGAGCAATAATTTTCGCATTTACACCAATGTATACTGTTATGAACTTTGTGAATAAAATGCATACAAAAAAGTTTACACGGTTACGTTAAATAATATCTACATACACATTGTGTTGTTAACCATTATAACAATATCATAAAAATTACACATATGCCAATAATTTATTACCAATCACATGAGATTTTTTTTTTTCTCAACAAAAAAAAATCTGATGTGAGCACACATAACCTACCGCAATATGTATTGTATAGTTCAGTGAAAGTGTTATATATAAAGTTCAGAATATTATAAAAATGCCTGTTAAATACTTCTTTTTATCCAATTTTTAGGCCATTAGTAAGCTTATTGTTAACATACCTACAAAAATGTAAATTCGGCTCTTAGTATAGTTTCGCTTTGTGCTACCCGAACTCCCAAAAATGCTCGCCAGTAACAGCCAGAATTCAAATATCAAATTTCAAAAAATTCCATCAATTCGTTCCGTAGATATGGTGAAAAATGTAAAATCGGTCCTCTGATCAGTTTCCGAGCTCTGATATTTCCAAAAAAAAATTATAGATTTATTATTTTAATACGAAGAATTTAAATATTAAATTTCAACGAAATCGGTTAGTTATTTCTCGCAAAATGATTATTTATATACGCAAAAATGTATATTTGGCCCCTAGTAAACGTCCAGTTGCTGACACCTAATTTCTTCCAAAAGTTAAGAGGTTTCGCGGACGGTTGAGCGAAGCCTATATATGAAATTTTAAGCAAATCGGCTGAATATTTTATTTAAAATGGTCAAAAATGTAAAACAGGTTTGCTAAAAAGTGCAGTTCCTGAGGCCTGATATATCCCAAAAAATTGATCAATCTGTGCCATAGTCAAAATAAACTTGCATATAAAATTTCATCAAAATCGGTTCAGCCGAACTTGAGATACACGCGTGCACACTCAGTTGATTTACACTTCCCTACTATAGAAAAGTACGTTCCCACCGAAAACTTGATATGCAAAATTTGTGGCCATCACATAATCTACCTATTGTATTCACAATACGGTTGGTAATTATGTTACGAGTACATATTGAATAAAATTTATTGTATGAAAGATGAACAATAGAAACCTTACCAATATTTTTCGTTTCAAAAAATATTGCTATTTTAAAATGGTAGCTCTAATTGTCTTAAATAAATTGAATATTTCATGATAATTAACATACATACAAGAAATTGAATTACATGTTATGAAAGATTTAATCAAGTAAATGTAGTAAAAAGGAGATTAAAATGTAAACGAAACTATCATATAATTTATGTAGATGTAATGATTATCATTTTGAATTCGTTTATTGAGAATTATTTACATTTCTTTATATTTTTATACCCGTACGAACTTATGTCCGAAGGGTATACTAAATTTGCCTTACCGTTTGTAACGCTAAGAAATAATGGTCTGAGATATAGACTCGAGTATATGTTGTTGATTAGCGTCGAATTCTGAGTAGGTTTAGCTTTGTCTGTCCGTCCGACGATAACTCAAAAACTAATTGAGTTAAGTTTACAAAATTTCCACAAATGATTTATTATAGTTAGTGCCAGAACCCTATTTAAATTGATTTTGATCGTGGTACTGGTTTAGGCCATACAATTTCCAAATTTATTTGACTATATCTCAGAAACTGTGAAAGCCATGCTGCCATGCAACTTCAAATGTTATTTGTCAATATCTCAGAAACTACAAAAACTGTGATATTGAAATTTCACACGAACGAATGTATTAGTAGGGGCAATGTGTTTGATAAAAATCGTTGAAGTTGCCTGGCTTCTTCTGGTAGCTGCCGTGCAAGTTCCATAGTAGTTTGGGCATATCTTAGAAAATAACATAAATTAAGAGCTTGGTCGTCTAACACGCTATTTTACTTGCATGTGAGAAGAAAGTGAGTAAATATCATATATTTATATGATGTAATTCTCGTGTGAGCAAAATTATTTTGCATGGCGTATCTCGTTTTCTCTAAAATGTATACAAAATTTATTCATTTTGTTTTTGAAAGTGAGACATTCAGTTGATAATTTAAGGAAAAATGTAAAAATCCACTTGAAAAAATAAGTAACCTTATTGGAAAAATGAAATGCGCATTAAACTGAGATTTATTATTTGAAAGTCAATAAAAAGTGAGTAAAAAAACGAGATACTTGATTAGGGTGTTAACATAGTGATATAAGTTTGATATCGAAAACATCTTTTTTAGTATTCTTAAGTTCATTTCAAAAAAGTTTTGAAAAATGAATTATTTTTTAGATTTTTCAATTACGAGCATTGTTAAGATTTGCAGACAAATTCCATTTTCTCACATGAAATTCAAAAATGGTTTTAAAAAATTTTGGAATTAGGGAAAATTCGCAAGAACTATTTTCCAAAATATTTAAATATTAAAAAAAAAATAATTTAATTTACCGTTTATTTCTATCATAAGCATAAATAGTTTTAGTTACGGCCAGTTTTGTGTGCCTACAAGTATTGCTTGCGTTTTTAAGATTATATAATATTGCATTCTGTAGGGTTTGCAATATTACCTATTCGGAAAATTTAATGTTATATGGATTTTTTTATTGTTTTACAATGCCATAATCTTTTGTCCTTTATTTCAAGTATTTGCCCCTAAACGTACATTCAAATGTCGCCAAGTATACATACGTACATAATATGAATAATATGATTTGAATACAAAATGCTCTTATTTTTTCAACAGACATACTTAAGTGAAAAAATGTGTGCTCTTGTTACTGATAAACAAACGTAGTTACAGTTTATTTAGACAAATTGAATTTTGTGTTATTATTATAAACGGTTACGTTTTTTGATATGAATTATTCAGTTTTTAACAAAACTCAGAATATGAGATTTTTGAAATGTAAATTTCAGTGGATTTTCTGTTCTCAAATTTATATGGAAATAGAAGAATTTCAAATATAATTTGGCTACTTTATTTATGACAGTCATATTGCTATTATCACAAATCATAATACACTAACTATTCCACAAAAAGTTTGTTATAGAAAAAGCTCGATATAATTCCAGTTCGATTTTTAATTCCATTGCCTCACTTTATATCATTTAAACCTTATAACTGCATACAAATAAAAAGCATAAATGCATACTTATGTAATAAAGCAAATATTTTTTTTATGCCATCATCTGTAACCCTGTCATATTACAATAATATGATGGAATAATCCTTTTTCATACCCCAGAAATATATATATATGTACATATCGTCACCTAAATATTAATTTGGTCCATACGCCATTGATCTGATTTCGAGAAAAACGACTTTAAAGTTTGAGATTAAATAGAAAAAAATATGCGTGCTGGAATTTTAAAGGGTATTCTGCTAACTTAAAAGTTCTTGAAGATTTTCTGAAGTCCTAATTTTTAATTTTAGTCTACATCCGCTATTTTTGAAGCTTTTTGTAGGAGGTGCACTAAAACGGAGTGGATATGGATAATTTTAACAGACTTAAATAATACATAAGGTTAATATTTATTTTTTTTTAATGATTTATACTTATATTTGAATCCCTTGTAGGAGTCGTCTGCGGTATAAGGATGTAAGTATATTCTTGCTCAGCGTAATGTTCTGCGTTGATTCAAACTTGTCCGTCCGTTCGTCAGACTGAATCGTTTTAACTGTTGCAGTTTCTTATTTTTTTTAAATAAAGCAATTAATTATAATTTTCTTGCTAATTTTTCACGATTTTTAAAGTCAACCTACTAAATTCTATATACCAAATAAAAAAAACAATCTTCTTTCTTTAAGAGCTTTTGTATTCCTTGAAACATTCTTAAATATAATTTTCATGTATAACAGCAATAACGTCTGTCCGTCCGTCCGTCTGTCCGTCCGTTCGTTCGTCCGCCCGTCCGTCCGTCCGTCTGTCCGTGTGTCTGTTTACAAAACTTCTACACTATCTTCTTAGATCTTTACTAGAAACTCATTTCTGTAGGAGAAAATTTTTACGTATCTCCCCTCCTCTAGAAGTTATAACCCCCCAAAATCCTAAACCTGGCTTGCTTCTTCTATCGCGGCATACTAAAGTCAAACTTTAGAAAAACGAAATGGCCGTTTAAATTTACCATCATCTAAAATCCGTTTTTTGAAAAAAATTTTTGATGTCGTTTTTCTTCTAGACTCCAGGTTGTAGGAGTCTGAAATTTCAGCAGCTTTTAGACATTAATAAATACTTAATTTTGTTAGATAATTTTTTTCCAACTCCACCCCCTCTCAAGTTATCGCCCCTTGAAATTTGTAAAATATGAATTTTTGACGCCTTGTATTTTCGAAACCGCAAGTTTTTTCAAATTTCCATGAACGCGAAATTTCTATAAACGCAAACGCAAATTATTTTTTAACTCACGTAATTAACTCTTAAAAACAAGCATTAAGTTAACCCCTCTTTATATTAATTTTTGCTTTATTTCAAAGACTGTATAAATCGCTCATCCTAAATATATGCAATCCTAGAAATAGTTTCGTACATGAATGAAAATAA